GGGAGTGGGGGTCTGGCGTCTCCATCCAAGTTTGACAGTCCTGGGGCCCCAGCCAGAGGCAGGCCCGCCCCTGCAGCATGGCAGAGGGTACCAAGCACAGACGAGCCCAGCTCCCTCCTGCCGACGGAGCTTACCGTCAAGGGCCAAGGCGCCTGCTCCTTGTGGCCGTGGCACAGGTGGCTCTGGTGGCTAAGCTTCCAGGAAGGTGTGGAGCCCGGGGGCCCCAAAGGTGGAACCCAGGAGAGGCTTGCTGAGGCCCTGGGTCCCCCCTGGCTATAGGGAGGATACCCACATGCCCCCTTGGCCTTCTGGAAGAATGGGTGGGGCAGCCTGTTCAGGTGACACTGGGGCCAGCACATGAGGCGAGGTCGTGGTCCGCCACGTAACAGTCACAAAGTCACCGGGCCTGAGGGCACCTGATGGTGGCCAAGTCTGACCAGCAGCTGAGATGACTGCGGGCCGTGCCAGGCGGCTGCGAGCACAGGGTGGGGCTGCTGCAGCCCTGGTCTCCTGGCCAGTCCTCGGCGCTGCAGCCGGGTAGCAGGTCAGCGGTTGGGGGTGGGAGGCCAGGCCTTCTCCACGTCAGGGTGCACGGCCTGGGGGAGCCACTCACAGTACTCGGCCAGTAGGTCTGCAGGGTGTAAGGCGGGACGGTGTCAGGGTAGCCCGTGTCCAGGGGCTTGTTGAGGCAGGAGGAAGCCGGCGGCTGCCCCGGGGCCAGACTCTCCGCTCTGCCAGGGCTGGCCACACCTGCAGCACAAGCCCACTTGTGGCCCCTCCCATCCCCCCACCCCCTCTAACTCACACTTGGGGTTTTTCTTCCAAGCAGCCAGCATGGCGTCCCGGCAGTCGGCCCTCTCCATGACCAGGGCTCTCAGGAGGCTCTCTGTCCTGGGCTGCAGCCTGCAGGGAAGAGGGTCTGGGTGTTGGGGGGCCGGGCCTGTGCCCACTGCTGCTGGGGCCTGGAGCTGAGAGGGCCCGGCCCCACCTGCCAGCCCCGCCCAGGAGGGTCAAGGGCCCCCAGCCGCCATCCTTCAGGGGTGGAAGGACCTAGGCCCCCTCTCGTCCTGCCATGGCCCACCTCAGGGCCTGGTCCACGTTCTGCCCGCCAAGGCAGCGAGGCACACATGGCCAGTGCCATCTGGAACCTTCCTCTCGACTTCAGCCTGGCTCCAGGCCCGCCTGGACCCCTGCCCCCTGACCAGCCGTCACCCCCCACCCCACCAAGTACCCTGTTCTCGCCCCATGGAGCCGTGTCACCACCTGCCATCTGTACGCTTTTCTGTTTGGTGCCAACCTCCCTGCACTACAGCGTCACCACCCTGGGACAGGGACACCCCTGGCACAGAGCAGATGCTTAGAAACGTTTGCTGGTGAGTGAAATGGCTTGTGACAGCTCGTTCCATCCTGAGTCCCGGGAGGGAGAGGGGGTGTGTGCATCGGGCCAGCTGCCTGTGCCCCAACCCCCATGCCATCAGCATGTTGCCTATGGGCCCTTGCCTCCTGTCTCAGGAAGTGGGAGGGGCCTGGACCACAGGAAGAAAGCAGAGGAGAGGGAGGCGGAGCCAGGAAAGCGGAGGGGGTGGGTGGCTGTGGTGGGTGAGGGGGAAGCCCCCAGGACCCAGGAGGACAGGAAGCTTGCGGCTGATACCTGGCAGCTCTGCAGTGGGTTAACCAGTACCTCGCACACCCCAAATCTGTGTCCACCCAGAACATTGGGATGTGACTTCTTTGGAAAGAGGGTCAGTCGGGTTTGGTGGCTCAGCCGGGCTTGGTGGCTCAGCCTGTAATCCCACGCCTTTGGGAGGCTGAGGTGAGTGGATTGCCTGAGCCCGCGGGTTCGAGACCCGCCTGGGCAGCGAGACCTCATCTCTACAATAAAGCAAAAAATCAGCCGGGCGTGGTAGCGCATGCCTGTAGTTCCAGTTACTTAGAAGGCTGAGGCGGAAGGATCGCCGGAGCCCAGCAGGTCGAGCGGCCACTGCACTCCAGTCTGAGCAACAGAGTGAGACTCCAACTCAAAAGAAAAAAGAAAATAAAAGAGGGTCGTTGCAGACGTAATTAGTTAAGATGCGGCCACCCTGGAGCAGAGCGGGCCCTGAACCCAAGGATTGGTGTCCTAAGAGAGGACACGAGGACACAGAGGAGGAGGCCACGTGAACACAGAGGCAGAGATTCGGGTGAAGCAGCCACTGCCAGGAAGTCAGCAGCCGCTGGAAGCCGGGGGAGGCCCGCCCCTCGGGCCTCTAGACGAGCACGGCCCTGCCCACACCTCGACTTGGATTCCAGCCTCCAGAGCCGTGGGAGGCACACGGCTGATGTTTTAAGGCCCCGGCGTGTGGTCCGTGGCCACTGTGTCCCTGGGGATGCCACAGGCCCCTCCCCCACCTGCCGCCCAGGGAGCCTGTACCTGGCCCACGTCTTCAGCATGGTGCTGGGGCTGGACAGCAGACAGCCGCGGAATGAAGCCAGCTCACGGAAGACCTGTGAGAGCGCGCAGGCAGGGGTGAGGCCCAGAGCAGCCCCATCCAGGGTGCCAGAGCAAGGCCGCGAGCCACCCTGTCACCTACCTGTCCTTCCAGCAGGAACCGGGCAAAGTGTTTGTAGCGGTCGACGCCCTCCGGGAAGTCCACCTGCACGGCGGGGAGCAGCCAGCCCACACGATCTGAGGGGGGAACCGGTGAGCCAGGGGCTTCCTCAGCCGCCCTCCCGAGTGTTCCCCCGCCCCTGGGCCCCGCCATCAGAGGGGCCCCATCCGAGACACCCGTGAGGGCAGAGGATGGGACAGGATGTCCAGGAGCCCGTGGCTTGGGAGGGCCCAACTCACAGAACACGCTGGCCCGGTGACACAGCACCCGGCCCTTCTTGGGGCAGTAGGCCGGGGCCGGCTCCTCCAGGGGTTTGTCGAACTGGCAGAAAGAGGGCAGGAGGGCCGGGATCCACTGGACCTCCACGGTGGAGACGCCTGGGCCCGGGGAGAGGCTGGGTCACAGGGGCACCGGCCCAGGAGGGGCTTGTGACCCTCCCCCAGGGACCCGGCCACACGGCCCGCCAGCCACGGGGGAGGGGCCGCCCGGCTCACACCTTTCATGTACATCTTGGTGGTCTCTACAATCTCCTGGTAGACCACGAACTCGGGGAGCTCTCTGAAAAGGACGGAACTGGGATGGATGAAGACAGGGTCGTCGAGAAGCGGGGTCTGCGGGGATGAGGAGGATGTGGTCGGGGGTGGCAAGCCCCAGGCCCGCCGTGCTCAACCCAGGAGAGCCCGCTGGTCCACTTCCCGCCGAGAAGGAAGGAGAGTCCACCAGCCAGGACTGTGGCCCTTCCACACTCTGGGTGTGGCCAGCCGTGGAGAGGGATGGGGCCTGACACACACTGCGGCGTGGTCAGCCCTTGGGACACGGTGCTGGGGGAGATGCCAGCCACCCAAGCCACGCTGTGTCAGATTCCATACACAGAAGGTAGTCAGAACAAGCAAAGCCAGAGATGAAAAGTCGAGTCATGGTGTGGAGCTGGGGGAACTGGGTTTTTTTTGTGGGGTGATGAAAATGTTCTAAAATTCACTGTGGTAGCCTGGGCAACACAAAACCTCATCTCTACCAAACACTGAAAAACTAGCTGGGCAAGGTGATGCCTGTAGTTCTAGATGCTCAGGAGGCTGAGGTAGGAGGATGGCTTGAGCCCAGGAGTTTGAGGCCGCAGTGAGCTATGATCGCACCACGGCACTCTAGCCTGGGCCAACAACTGAGACCCTGTCTCTAAATACTAAAAGGGTTTCAATGGTATGTGAATTACATCTCAATTAAGCTGTTATAAAAAACCAAAACAAGCCGAGCTCGGTGGCTCAGCCTGTAATCCTGTGCCTTTGGGAGGCTGAGGTGAGTGGATTGCCTGAGCCCGCGGGTTCGAGACCCACCTGGGCAACTTGGCAAGACCTCATCTCTACAATAAATCAAAAAATTAGCCAGGCGTGGTAGCGCGCGCCTGTGGTTCCAGCTACGTGGAAGGCTGAGGCAGATCGCTGGAGCCCAGCAGATCGAGGCTGTGGTGGCCAGGAGCGGCCACTGCCCTCCAGTCTGGGCGACAGAGTGAGACTCCAACCCAAAAACAAAAATCCAAAGCCTGGCACAATGGCTTATACCTGTAATCTCAGCACTATGGGACATTGAAGTAGGAGAATCTCTTGAGGTCAGGAATATTGAGACCAGCTTGGGCAACATAGTAGGACCCTGTCTCTACAAAAGAAAGTCAAAAAAGCTATCTGGGCATGGTGGTGTGCGCTGTACTCCCAGTGACTTGGGAGGCCCAGGCAGGAGGATCACCGGAGCCCAGGAGATCAAGGCTATGGGGAGCTGTGATTGTGCCACTGCACTCCAGCCTGGGCAACAGCGTGAGACCGACTCCTCACCAAAAAAAAGCTGTGGCGAGAACCTAACCCCCACAAGAAAGAGGTGTACACCCTGAGGTGGGGACTTTCCCAGAGGCTGTGGGGACCCGTGACAGAGGACAGCCCCAGCCCCCAGGGCCTTGCCAGGTGCCGACGGACCCACCTTGTAGGCATTCCTCCACTTTTCGTCCAGCAGCTCCTCGCTCTGGACCCTGCGGGCCAGGTGGTCACCCAGGCCAGCCGTCACAATCTGCCGCAGGTAGGTCACCTGACTCTCGGTGGGTGGCAGCATCTTGGGGTCCACGAACAGCCCGGCCTCGGGGCACACAGCGTTGACTAGGGGAGAGCTGGGCGTGAGGGCGGTGAGACCTGGGCCGGCTCTGCACTGACGGTGCCCTGGCCTCAGCTGCCTGCTTGTCTCAGGCCCGCCCCAAGGCTGCCCACAAGAGACAAAGCCCTCGGTGGGCAGGACGGCAGCCCCTCCCCCATTCAGTCTCTCCTTCTTCCTTGGGACAAAGCCCCGTGTCGTGTCGGGGGCAGACCATTCTGCTAAGGATCGACCATCCCTAGTGCCCAGGGTGGCCGAGGACCCGGGTCTGGCCCACACGTGAGGAAGGAAGCTGCGGCTGATTCCCGGCAATGCCCAGTGAGGAGGTGGGACGGGGGGCAGGGGGTCCTGGCTCGCCCTTCCCTTCTCCCCCTGGGAGGCAGAGGCGACTCCGCCTCCAGCAATGCCCTCCGTCTCAGGTGAGCACAGGCCAGAGGGCTCAGTAGATGGCGGGAGGGTGGCACCCCTGCAAAGCCACCAGTTGCGACTCCACATTTTCTCTTCTTTGGGATAATAAATGCCTAATGTCACCAAGCCCCCACAGCCAGAGGACACAGCACGATGACGGGTAGCTGTGGCGCATCCAATGCTGGGAACGTACTGGCTGGAAAGTCAGCTGGTGTCAGACCCTGGCCCTGATGGAACTGGAGGCCTCAAGGAGAGGGCGTGACCTGCCAGGAGAGCCCGGGGCACACATCATCCTCCCTAGGACGTATCACAGGACAGGGTGTCTCTGCCGGTGCTGTGGGCAGGGGTTGCTGTGACACTGAGCCCAGGTATGGAGTTCGGGCCAGGCCTCACCCTTTGGCATGAGAAGGGTCTGGGGGCATCTGGGAAGGAAGAGAGGGCCAGGCAGGGCAGGGGGCACCAGGGCAGATGAGTCTGAGACGACCCGGTGGGAGGGTGCAGGTGGGTGGCTGAGACCTGTCGTTGCCTGCTCACGCAGGGATCTGGGGTCACACACAGACGCGAGTCAGCCGGTCTGCACACATGGAACCCGCGCTCCCTCCGCTCAAGCCCAGGCCTGCTGCCCATGCTCAGTCCCAGGCCCTACCTGTGGTTGTCAGCTGGCCCCGCAGGTGCCGGATCTCCATCATGGCTTTGAAGCGCAGGCCGTTGGCCTCGCAGAACTGGGGCGAGCAGCCGGCGTACTCACAGGCTCCCACGGCACCTGGGGACGAGCGGGGCTCACTCATGCCCAGCCCGGTCCAGCGGCCAGCCCTCCACCCCCCCCCGGGCAGGCACGCACCTAGCAGCACCATGAGGTCGCCGAGCTTCTGAGAGGCCCCCTGACCCGCCCAGGTCCTCTTCATCTGCGCCACCCGGGCACGCCGTCCCTTCAGCCTGGCGAGCTCCTCGTCGCTGGCAGCTGGCCTGCAAAGGAACACACACAGTGCCTGGCATGGAACTCTCCTGGGACTTGTTAAACAACGCTACAAGGAAACAACTCCAGAATGTGGCATCTTCTGCAAGAAAACTGGTCTGGACGTGGCCTCTGTGTGGACTCAGTGACCATCTGGTGATCAGGGACCGCCCCCCCGACCTCTAAGTCTCACAATCTCACCTGATTTTTTTTAGGATTTATTGAGAGGACAGAAAAGCTCCCACAGTGGGAGGGGACCCGAAGGGGGTGCCCCTCATCCAATGGGAGTGACCACAGCCACTGGAGTGGTCGCAACACTGCAGGGCTCCCATCGGGAGGATGAGGCTGCCCAACATGCCAGTGACTCCCCAGGTGGCCAGGGTCTGGGTCAGCTCTCAGCTGGGCCCCTGTCATGTCTGAGCGTCCGCCCTCCACACCCGGCCCAGCCTCGCACCTGTCCAGCTCCTCAAACAGCTCCCGGACCGTCATGGCGGCCACGATGGTGATGGCGTAGGGCAGGCAGCCGTGCTGGCGGCTCAGCGCCAGCATCTTGGCATAGCGGGGTGCCACGGGGAACGTGGCCATGGTCTTGCCCAGGGCGGTGATGGGGCGGCTCAGCCGGGACCTCTGCAGCTGCTTCATCCTGGAAACAGGGCCGTGGTGCGTGGGGGCTCTGAGAGGAGGTTCTGGAAGCTAGGCGGCTGGGAGAGGGGGGCTGGGAACTGGACCCGCCCTCCCCCGAGTCCCAGCCTCTGCCGCACCTCTCGGCCTTCTGGGGCGCCTGCAGGGCCCCCAGTGCGATCAGCAGCTCCTCCGCGGCGATGAGGGCTTCCACCGAGGGCGGCGTCGGGAAGGGGAAGTTGACGACCTGGGACACGGGAGACGCAGCAGGACGTGGCGAGCGGGGAGCAGAAGGCCGGGGCCCCTCCCGGCCATGGCAGGTGCTCCCCCCAGCCTGCTCCGGGTGCAGCAGGACACTCTCAAGCCCCAAGTCCCTTCATTCATTCCCATGATCCATTCACTCGGAAGCCTGACCTGGGCACCCGTGGGCTCCAGGGGCTGTGCTTGGCCACGGGGTGACAGAGACGCACAGAAGACAAGGCTCTGCCCTTGCTGTGTGCACCTGACCGGCAAGGGACTGGGGCGTCATAGCCTCACAGGAGCAAAGGTGCCCCCCCAAAACGGTGAGGGACAGAGTGACCAGGCTCAGGGGTGGTGGCGCCTTAGAAAGAGTGATCAGCTGGAAACAAGTGTCCAGCTGACATGCGGACACGCACATTTCGCCACAGCCAAGGGGCCAGCAGCCAAACTGATGAACAGATGAACACAGGGTGGCACATCCACGCCACAGCAGTGACTCAGCTGTGGAAAGGAGGCCTTGATGCAGGTGGCAACACAGACGGGCCTGAAGACACGATGCTGAGTGACAAAATCCAGATACAAGGCACATGTACTGTCCCACTCCATTTATGAGATGACCCGGACAGAAAGCAGGACAGTGGGTGCAGGGACTGGGGGGGGTGATAGCTAGCGGTACAGGGCTTTGGGGTGATGGAAATGTTGCTGGCTGTGAGGAATGCACAACTGCGACTGCCAGCTTTGTCTGGGAGACCCAAGGTATATGTCTCACCAAGCCGTCGGGAGGGCAGGTGAGGCCGCAGCAGCGGGTGAGTGCGTGGGGAGAGGATGCTGGGAATTGGATCTGTGAGGAAGACGGACTGGGGTTGTGCCAGGCAGACCCCTGGGGCCGCTGGGGACCTGGGTTTTACCCGAGAGCAAGGGGACACCGTGAAGAATTTCAAGAGGCAACCGCACTCATGGTGGAAGGACCTTTGTGACAGTACCTGGGCCACACATGCGCTTATTCCCACCCTGACACTTTCTAGCCATGTGACCCCCGCTGCACCTGCGGCAGTGCCTTGGTCTCCTCACCTGTAAAATGGGGGTGATAATACCAGTGACTCCCTCCCCGGGCTGCTCTGAGGACAAGCCAGGGTCCCACGTACAGAGTCCCTCGCACGTACTTGGCAGCCCATGCATCGCAGTGACATTAATGCCACTGGAAAGGAATCCAACCCAAGACAGCATGGAGAAAACCACGCGGTAGTTACAAAGTCACAGTGACGGCTGGGCCTGGTGGCTCAGCCTGTAATCCTAGCACTTTGGGAGGCCGAGGCGAGTGGATTGCCGGAGACCGTGGGTTCGAAACCAGCCTGGACAACTTGGCGAGACCTCATCTCTACAATAAATAAAAAATTAGCCAGGTGTGGTAGCTCGTGCCTGCAGTTCCAGCTACTTGGAAGGCTGAGGCGGAAGGATTGCCTGAGCCCAGTGGATGGATGCTGGGGAGGCCGTGAGTGTGCCACTGCACTCCAACTTGGGCGATGGAGTGAGACTCCCAACTCAAAAAAAAAGAAAACTACAGTGACACCGACAGGGGCCACAGGCCACAAATGGTGGCAGCGGATGGAGTTTACATTATGATGATTGAAGTATCTGAATTTTTCTAATTTTGAACATTTTATATTTACGGCCAGAAAAATCAACATGAGGCGGGCTCGGTGGCTCAGACTGTAATGCCGTGTTTTGGGAGGCTGAGGTGAGTGGATTGCTTGGGCCCGTGGGTTCGAGACCCACCTGGGCAACTTGGCGAGACCTCATCTCTACAATAAA